TATTTGTTTTCCCATACAATTTTTATTAGAGCCATATATGATATTATTGCTTATTGTCTAATTCAAATATGAAATGTGAAAAATCATTCTGATTGTTCTAATAACAAGTGATTTTGGGATGATGAGTATGATAGTGAAAATGAATTGATGAGGGAATTAGGAATTAACTGAATTGGAGAAGCTAACCAAAAATCCAAGCGAGGAGTGAACCAAAAATAGATAAATTGAGTGTCAACACTTTATGATGATAACTGGTATTGATTGATTCTTTGATGTGATTGCATGTTATTGAGACTTGAAAATGATAAAGACATTTTTCTTGTGTAGTAGATATAACCCAAAGCCAAATAGTCAACCCTACATTAATTATAGGACATCCAATTGAACCCCATTTGAGCAAAAAATAAGATATTTTCTTAAACAAAACCCTTGAGCCTAAACAATAATTATCCACCTTCCGATATTTGAGAAATGAAATGATTATGGATGTTATCAGTTTTCCTACAGGTATTATTGGGTATTGTTATTGTTTTCCTACGGGTATTGTGGGATATTCCAAAAAAAAAAGAAAAGGAATGAGAAAAAGGGAAAAGAAAAGCATACAAGTTGAGGTTAAGCCGAAATGATAAATATAAAGCATGAGGAAAGGAAAAAAAAAATTCAAAGTGGTGTGAATGATAACTGGTGAGATTGATAATGCACTATCTTGATGTTGGAGCAAAAACATGAATTCTGAAACTCGACTTGAGGAAATGTTAAATAAGAATCATTCATATGATTTAAATTTCTCAAATACTTTTGTATATCCTAAAAAAACCAATGAATTCCTTTTTAGCCCAACGTCATTACAAGCCTCAAAAGACCATTTGATTTAAGTCTTGCTTAACAAATGCTGATTGCTTGAAGATGATTATCAATATTAGGTTGTCTAAATGAAGTGATTGAATGAGACAAACACTTACCTGTAAGAGTTAGAGATGATTATATATCACTCTATTTGAGAGATCATGCTTCTCTGAGGATAGTTGACGATTATTTTTTGTTAGTTCTGTAACTTGAATGTTTATGTATTCTATTTTCATTTGGAGTTGTGAGCATCGCATCTGAAAAGCTATTTTTATGTTGTGGTTCTGGAAGAGAAAGTAATAATAAGTGATGATTTTTTTTTGGAAAAATTACTTTGCTTAGGACAAACAAGATTCTAGGTTGAGGGGAGTTGTTAAGTGGTAAAAAGTTGATATAATTATACTTTGAATTGTTATGAAATCACTTAACTTATGTTAATTCTAATATATTTTTCTCCTAATGTAGGATGAATTCGAGAATACCTTGATACAAGTGTAATGAGCATAATTGTCAACATAATTGGAGCAAAACTAAAAGGAGGAAGAAGATTTTTCAGCATGGAAGTCACTCGAGCGAGATAGACTCTCACTTGAGCGAATATCAGTTATTCTTCTCTAAAAGTCAGTCGCTCAAGTGTCAGTCGCTCAAGCGTCAGTAAATTCGCTTGTGCGAATATTAGTTATTCGTTTCTGAAGCTCACTCGCTCAAGCGAGCGATTTGTCGTTTGAGTGAAAGACGCGAAGCCCAAAAGCCCAATTTCTCCTATAAAAAGATAAGACGAATTTTGAGAAAGGGGAGACATTTTTGGAGAGAAGAGGCACGACTAATGCTAGAGTTTCGTCCAATCTTCATCAATTCTTCACTTCTTCCACATTTGGAGCATTGTAATGGCCACCATGAGTGACTAACTTCATTCTCTTGAAATTTGGTGCACTTCCTTTGAACTTTTTTGTATCATAGTGATATTTGGAGATATTAATCTATGTTTTGATGTTGTTATTCTTATCCTTTGTGCTTTGGAATGATTTGTCCTTGATGTTTGAGATATGATTGGAAAATATATCTTGAACCCTAGATCACGGTAAGAATATTTGTTAAGTTAATTGCCAGGAATGAAATGAATGTATCAATTGCTTAACACCTTAAACCTAATGCTGGAAAATCTCTTAATTATATGAGGAATCAACATTTATTAGGTTTTCTTATGAATTTCATGTGTGAGGAATCAACATGGATGATTTGAGTAGGTGACATCAACATTATTAGGTTAATTGATGTTCTTAATTGACATAGTCATTACAAAAGAGAGAAAAGGAAGGAAGTCAATCCTAAGTGCCTTTACTTAATATTTTCTAAACAATTTATAGTTCTTTGTCAGTTAATTACTATTCAACTCTTTATGCAAAACCTATTTTATTTTAATCCACTTAGTAAGCATATAATTGAGAATTTCCATTGAAGTCGTTCCTCGTGGGATCGACTTTTATTTAATTGAAATACTATACTGCGATTGATAATTTTAGTACGTTTGCCAATAATTCAACAAGTATTTCTGACCCAATGAACAATACTTGCACTTGACTAAAAGTCTATAATGAACTAGAACACTTTTACAATGATTTCATGTAATATCTATTTCTTTTTCTTTTTTTTTCACTTTGATTGACTCATTACTTCTATCAACAAATTCAAACAAAGATAATTTTTTCCTACAAGATAAAATAAACACAATCTTTAAATAACAACTATTTTTTATATATATAAAAAAATAAAATAAAAAATCATAAACTAGTTTAAACTAATTTTAAAAAATAATAAAATAACAACTAATTTTATATAGAAAATAATAAAAAATAATAAAAAGTAATTATATACTAATTTAAATTGCGACTTTTTTTAAAGAAATAAAATAAGAAATGGCAAATTGAATGTTAAAATAACCCAAAAAACATTATTAAAATAAAATTAAAAATCAAGTAATGAATCGTTGTGCATTTTAATGGTATGCACGAGAGGATCACCAAAAATAAAATAAAAAATAATAAATTAAATGATAAAGTAAACAAAAAGAAGGGTGTCATGCATGCAATAAGTGATGATACAATTGTAATTAAAAAAGTTGTAAGATCAATGCAAAGTACATTACAATGTCATAATTAGAATCATTCTAGTGCACCCCTTCTATTTTATTCTTTCTCACATTCCTCTTTTTCTTTTCATCATTGTAACACATCTTCTTCTTTTTCTTCTCACTATTGTGCCACTGTTTTTTTCTTCTCACTACTGCACCACAACGTTTTTTTGTTCTCACTGTTGCTTTTGTACACTCTCACCATTTCTTACCTTTCTCAATATATAACAAGTTTGTTATATGCGTCTCTTCGTTCTAATAACTCTTTTTTACCTTTTTTTGTGTCACTTTGTTTCACCGATGCACTTGGTTTCTTTCGCTTACCCATTGATTTTTTTAAAACACACATTCTAGAATCGTGCACAATGGAGTTGAATCACGGATCCCATCATTCAAGTTCGATTCATCCTATTCAAAGTATAAAATGATACATTAAATAAATTGTATAGCAAGTTAGAATTTTTTAAATGAATCGTGATTCAAATCATACAATTAGTGTGATTCTAACTACCATAGTTAGAATTGCAAAAAATTGATTTGTTTGTATTGTATCTTAAATTGTGATTGAATGAGTTGATTTAAAGTAATGATGTGTGTAAAATATTAGGGTATGATAACTATATTTAAACTATACATGACATATTTTAAAAGAAAATTGAGCAATAAAGTCTCATAAGATAATGTTTGATATTTGAAATGTGGTTTAACATGTGTTATGTAGGTCTATTATCTGCATATTTTGCTTGAGCGACAACAAAATATGCAAAAAGAAAAGGAAATGACTTCTCTTGGGTATATTTTTATTCATTTGAAATTTCTTAGAATATTTTTTTCCGATCTTATAAAAACCATAAAAAATAGTTACAAATTCCAAATTTAACGTTCCATATCTACAAATTGAAAACCTTGAAATAAGGAACCATATGAAACAAGAATTAGTAAAAAAGGATATTTGTGAAAAAAGTTATGACTAAAAGAATAGATAAATGTCAAATCCAAAAAGAAATTATTTTTGTTGTAATGTGAAAAATGACACGTACATGATTTTATTAGAATACATGTATTATCTATGAAATAATGTAGGTTAAGTGTTAATATATGTATTGTGATGTGAAAAATATCATGTGATGCATACATGTACGTTATATTTGTGATGAATCAATGAAAGTTAACATAGTGGTTTCTAAAAAGGAAATACTATGTTAAGATGTAGGTAATGTATTGAAATATTCTAACTTTACTCGATGTTGCACACAATAGAGAAAAGTATCAGGTGTAAGAGTTGAATGAACTCACTATGATTTAATTTGTTGTGTGAAAAAGAACTGTATCTGACAAATAATAGTGAATTTATCTTATCACATGATGGATTTGAGAAATCCACTTAGGAAACATAATATGATAGATTTTAATATCTAAATCTAAATTCAACAAATATATATTTTAGAAATAGAAGAAATGTTTGTAATTTTAAATGTCAATAATCATATAAGATATACTTATAGATTAAGAACTAGACATTTAATTTATTGTATAATTATAGTATTTAATTTATTTCTTAATAATATGAATATTAAAAATATTTTATGATAATTATATAAATAAAATTTTTGTATCATTAGCTTACTTGATAAAAATTCACACTTAAATCAAAACATAAAAAAAGACGTGCTCTAAAAATTGATGTACGAAAACTTTGAAAAGCCCCAACCTAAGTTATTGTAGAAATGCATAGAACATTTAATGTTTATTACGTATATTTAATACATAGGTTTAAGGTATCTTCAACAATGTCCAACACCAAACAAACTAGGATTACAAAAGGAAAAAAAAAAAAGAAACTTTATAATTGGCGTTTTTGAAAAGGCAAAAGATACCGTGAATAAATCGTATCCTGCAAATATCGTGTAAAATGTATTGGACGAAATTAAGGTCGTGTCGTGAGAAGCAGTAAAACGACAAGTTGTATCGAACCATCACTTCCATTATTTCACGTCCTTTCGGCACCTCACTCGCTGCTTCCATGCTTCCATATTCCAAACTAAACCCAATGCTCTGTCGTTCTCTACAATCTCCTCACATACTCTTCTCTTTCCGATCATTGCCTTTTACTCTAATCCCAATCCCAAACCCTTCAATCCGATCCTCACCACACCGTCTCTTTTCTTCTTCGTGGCTATCTGAACCGGGAAACCCAATCATCCAATGGCCTTCAATACCCACACCAACCGCCCCTCGCAACCCCAAACCCAACCCCGACCCTAACCCTACACCCGACGCCACCTCTCCAAACTCAAACGCATTCTCCCTCATTTCCAACCTCTTCACGGACCCTTCCGTCTCGCCCGGTCCGGTCCTCCACGCCCAACTCGAACGGTTCGCCATCGAACCAGACCCGGCCCTCCTGCTCACCGCCTTCGATCGCTTCGGCTCGTCTCCCAAGCTCCTCCACTCGCTCTTCCTTTGGGCCCAGACACGGCCTGGGTTCAGGCCCGGCCCGAAGCTCTTTGACGCCGTCGTCAATGCGCTCGCGAAGGCGAGGGAGTTTGACGCCGCGTGGAAACTCGTTCTCGATCACGTCGATGGAGACGGGGAAGAAGAAAACGAAAGCTTGGTTTCAGTTGGGACCTTTGCCATCATGATTCGACGCTACTCGCGAGCAGGTAACGGAAAATTTTCTGCGATTTAGGGTTTCGGATTGTTCAAATTCAGTTTCGTTGTTTTGTCAATGCGTTTGGGAGTTTTGCGTCGAGTGTGTTTGGGTTGGATTTGCGAGCTGGATTTTAATTGAAGTTGGTTTTCAAAACTTGATAAACTTTTGCATTAAGTAAATTTTCTGTAAAAGAAAAGAAATTTAGTTAAAGTAACGTTCTTTGGGTTTGATAAAAATAATCTTTAGACTTATCAGTGTAATTTCTATGCACTTGAAGTAGAAAGGATTTGAACCTTAGAATTTTTTCATCATACTCCTTATATTCTTCGCTTAGGTATTTCGGAGGAGCTTTTCTCTAAGGACGTCTCAAGCTCAGAAAATTTAAAAGAAAAAAAATGAAATTGTTAATTTCTCTCGCTACTACGAGTGTATTAATAGTTTTTTCACACAGTATATTATTAGAGTTTAAGAGGCCTGAACCGTTTTATTTTTGGTGTAAAAATATTGTTAAAGTAAGAATATAATACTAAATTGTGATTATAGTATTTTAAAGAAATTATCATTTATATTATATCCTCTAGTTTCAGCCTGGAAGGAGGTTTAGGTAGAATGTATGAAGTCGCAGGATCTAAACTCTGAAATTTTATTGACACTGTAAAGGTGTAACTAGTTTTACAAACATTCGATAAGAAGTTATCCTACTATAATTTTTAGAATAATCATTGTAGTAATGCTTTTCTAACTATGAACGGCTTTTTCCTGGAAAAAAATTTCAGGTATGTCGAAGCTTGCAATTAAAACATATGAGTTTGCTAAAAATAACAAGTCAATTGTGGATTCAGGCTCAGAAATGAGTTTATTTGAGATATTGATGGATTCACTTTGTAAAGAAGGGTCTGTGAGGGAAGCTTCAGAGTATTTCCTTTGGAGAAAGGAGTTGGACATAAGTTGGGTTCCTTCTATTCGGGTTTATAACATAATGTTAAATGGATGGTTTCGGTCGAGGAAACTCAAGCAGGGTGAGAGGCTCTGGGCAGAGATGAAGAAGGAGAATGTGAGACCAAGTGTTGTGACATATGGTACCCTTGTGGAAGGATATTGTCGGATGCGCCGTGTGGAAAAAGCACTTGAAATGGTTGGTGATATGACGAGAGAAGGAATTGCACCAAATGCAATTGTATACAACCCAATTATTGATGCTCTGGCAGAAGCTGGAAGATTCAAAGAGGCTTTGGGTATGTTGGAACGATTTCATGTTTTGGAAATTGGCCCTACTGATTCAACATACAATTCTCTCATAAAAGGGTTTTGTAAGGCAGGAGATCTTGCAGGTGCCAGTAAGATTCTTAAAATGATGTTAAGTAGGGGTTTCATCCCAAGTCCTACCACCTATAACTACTTTTTCAGGTATTTTTCAAGATGTGGAAAAATTGAAGAGGGGATGAACCTGTATACAAAGATGATTGAGTCTGGTTATACCCCAGATCGCTTAACTTACCATCTTTTGCTGAAGATGTTATGTGAAGAGGGGAAGTTAGACTTGGCAGTTCAAGTTTGCAAGGAAATGAGGCATAATGGATATGACATGGATTTGGCTACCAGTACCATGTTTATTCATTTGCTTTGCAAAATGCATAGGTTGGAAGAAGCTTTTCTCGAATTTGAGGACATGATTAGAAGGGGCATTGTTCCTCAGTATCTCACTTTCCAGAGAATGAAAGCTGAGTTAAAGAGACAAGGTATGACTGAAATGGCTCAAAAGCTTTGCAAGTTGATGTCTTCTGTTCCTTATTCTACCAACTTGCCAAATACCTATGGCGGAGACAGAGAAGATGCTCATACACGAAGAAAATCTATAATTCGGAAAGCTAAAGCATTTTCTGACATGCTGAAGGATTGTAAGGACCCAAGTGAACTTCGTCGGTATAGAAATTCATCAGAAAATGCTGTCTCAAGCGCAAACTATATGATAGATGATATTGAGGGAAAAAGAAAACAGAATAAACATCTCTGATCTCAGTAAGCACTCAGCAGGGAGCAATTATTGACAGTTTAAAACATTTGCGATTCAGTTTGCATTTATTAACATCTTTGCAAAAAAAAATTCTTCTAAACTTTCGTATGAAATTTGTAGGTATAAGGGGATCAGTGAACTGATATACTGCTGTCTACATGACTACATTAGCAAGTGCAAACTGAGTTAACAGAAAATAGCTTTTTCTGAGCCACATTGTGGGTAATTTATCAATGAAGATGACATTATTAACTGAATGCTAACAGATCATAAATAATTGTTTCTTGTAAGAGCATGACAGGAAAAATTGTTTCTTGCAGATTAAAAATTCTAGAAATTAGTAAATTATTAGAAATAGAGAATAACTTATGTAATATACTATAAGGTAATCACATCTATAATTATATAACTTGGAAGGTTTATAATGGAATTAGTCAATAAGATTTTATCACAATTCTCTCCTTGATAAATTTTCATCGGACCCTTCAAATGATGAGAATTTTTATATCACAATCACTTTAAGGAGGATTCAGGAATTTTATCATATATTTTTTAAAAAATGGGATATTTGTGGTTTTGGAAAAGAGGAGGAAAATGCATAGAAAGCATAGGGAGGGAGAGAATAAAACGAGACTAAATATGATATGTAGGCTTTGGTTATTATAATATTTAATAATAATAATAATATAAATTTTAAAATTAAATATTTAAAAAATACATTTATTTAAAATTTTTAATCAAATCATTTCTATTTTTTTTTCAAATCTAATCACCTTATTTTGGATTTGGATTCATTCACTTCTACTTTTTTTTTCTCTTTCAACTTCCTCAATTTCTTTCTTTCATACAAAACATAGACTCAAGTAAATTAAACGTGAAATTATCTACCAAAAAATTAAAGCTGCATTTTTATATCTTTGTAATAGTTTACATAACATTTGTGATGAATATTAAATTATTATATATACTTTTCAACTATCCTTTTTTATCCCACTCTTGAATTTTTGTTTATTTTTTAATTCAATATTTTTGTTTTACTGAAAAAAAAATAGTTACATGACATAATCATTTTCGTAATCCAATGATTCATGTATATATATATATATATATATATATATATATATATATATATATATATATATATATATATATATATATATATAACTAATTATTTTCACAATTACCGGTTCTGAATTTAATATTTTCACCAGATTATTCAATAAAATATTCTCATATATATCAATTCACTCCATTAGAGTATTATTTCATATTGGAAAAACATAATTAGTTTCACTTTAAAAATGCATTTAATAGAGATGTTTAACCAAAAACATTTGAGTTAAATTAGATAAAAAAATTGAATATAAATTTATTTGAGTTGACTCCCCAACTCAATTCATATCCATAATGTTTGTTTTTATCTTTACATAAATAATTAATGCCAATGATTTTGTTTATACCAACTTTATTTGGTGGACATCATCACTCCTTCTTCGATGTCATTGTGATGCCTACTTTCACTTATTCAAAAGTAAAACACATGCTTTTAGATTCTATATTTTTATATCAGTCATTTTGATTTTTTTTAAATACATTAATTTATTTCCATATTTATATTTTATTATTTAAATTTTTTCCTTCACATTTCTATATTTTACTATTTATACAATATATATTTAAAATTAAACTAATCTAAAAATAAAATTGAAAATCGAATGTTTTTGGATTGAAAATTTTTAGATTTGATCAATGTGTTTCAATTTTTGGTTTGGTAGTCAGTAACTAGCTTAAACCAAAATCATAATATATGTGATTAAAATTAATAAATCAAATATTGTGATGTGTTAATTAACTTATTTTTTAAATTGAATATAAAGATATATAAAAACAAATTAAAATAATGAATATTATAACTAATTATGTTATGTTTTGTATTGAATAATTATTTTATTGTATTTAATAATTTTATAATAAAAAAACTATAAAAATCACCCAATTAACCAAATTGTAAAATATTAGTTTGATTTAAAAATAAAATAAAAATCAAACTAAACCACACATAATATGATTATATGTATAATTTTTCTAATTTTCAATTAATGTTGGTCTAAAATTTTACGTATTTAGCGCATGCCATGGGAAATAATTCGAACCTAATGATTACCAAATTTTCTTTAACAAGTAAGAATCTCCAAAATATGTCAACAATGTTTTAACCTTTGGACACATAAAGCATAAGAAAGTTGTTTCATTTAATGAAATGAATTATTAAAGAGGTAAAATTTTGAAGATTATGATGGGGTCAATTTGTTTTATGTAATTGATTGGTTCACTAATTTTACTCTGTTTAATGCATTATTTAGTTCCTTAACCATTTTCCCTTTTCAGCTATTTTGTTCATTCTTTGTCGTTTTCTTAAGCTTTTGCAATGGAGTTCATTGCATGCAACTAAAACTATTGAAATCTAATTATCTTAATGTTATATTCTTTCAAAGTAGTTTCAATTACTCTTGTTTCGTATTCGCTTTACACTCCCTCAGGTGGCATGTTTTCACCTTGTTCCTCCATTTTTATATATAGTTTGTTCAGGTGCATTCATCCATGAACACTTTAAAATTAAAAAAGGAAACAATATTTCTTGATAAATTTTTTTTTTACAAATTGAATAATGCATAAACTAATACAAACTATTTTTACAACCCAACTATCATTTCACATGACAATATGCATATTTATACAAAATTGATAAAAAATATAATAAAATAAATAATAATAATAATAATAATAATAATAATAATAATAATAAACTTAACTTAAATTATATTTATAGATAAAATGGAAATCAAGATGTCATATATTTGAGATAAAATTGATAATATAAAATTTTATACCAACATTTCTTATCAAACTAACGTGTAAGATCCAGATTTACTGGTCTAAGAGTGTCACCAGCTGAACTGTGTTTAAATTTTAAAATTTTGAATTATTATTTTTTAAATAATTTAAATTCTATTTCTATAAAATCATAATTTTTCTAAATTCTAAATCTTGTGATTTCTTTCTAAGATCTCTCATCCATTTCTTATTTTTTTATATATTCAAATACATTGTAATGTCTTAAGGGAAAGAAAGATTTCTACCTAGTTTAAATTTTTATTAATGTTAGACAAATGACATCTAGAGGGGGTGAATAAATGCACAAATTAAAATAGATGTCAAATTAAAAATTAATTTATGAGTCAATAATTTGTTAAAGCGTGAAGCAATAATATAATCGAGGAAAAGAGAAAGAGTTAAGGGAAAGAGAAGAACACACAGTAGATTTATACTCTGTTTGGGTATAGCCAACCCTACATCCAGTTCTCGAGTCAACTCTTAACACGAGTGACTCCCCATTCACTATCTTTCAAATTCAGTTTACAAATTACAATCAACTCAGCAGAAGAACCAGTAAAATGTAAACTAATTAAAAAGACAATCACCTCCTTAGAAACCCACTAGGGATGAACACCTCCCTAGAATCCCACTAGGGATGAACACCTCCTCTGAACAAATCAAAGGATGAAAAACACCTCCTTAGTATCCCACTAAGGATGAACCCCTCCCTAGAATCACACTAGGGATGAAAACCTCCTTTGAACAAATCAAAGGATGAAAACACCTCCTTAGAATCTCACTAAGGATGAACACCTCCCTAGAATCACACTAGAAATGAAAAGAACCTCCTTTTCCACCAATGCAAAAAGGATGAAGGTAATAAAAATAAGAACAGACACACCTGGGTAATGGAGACAACAAATTATAGAAGCCTGTAGAATGCCAATCTCCAAGAACAAGTGTGATTAATAATGAAAGTACAGAAGACAGTAGAGAAGAGGGTTTTCTCAAAAGGTGTAAAATATCTCTGTTGCCTTGCTCAAAATTCTTTTCTCAAAACTTATTGAATGTAAACTGTATTTTCGAATTCTGTAATTGTGTATTTTTTATTTTTCATCAAAACTTAATTAAATAGAAAAATAACATCAGAAAATGGTCGTTGGACATTAATAATATCATAGAGAAAATCAGGATGTATTCAAAAATATTTATTCTTTAAAACAAATATATTTTTCAAATTTGAATTGTCATAATTGATTATATTATCAATATAATTAATTATGATAGATAAAATCATTTTTCCATTTCTGGTGCATCATAATTAATTATGACAGTGAAAAATATCATGTTATGAATTTTATCACACTTATACTTTGGAGGCTTATGCATAATATTACTTCATCAACTTGTACCTCCATATCCAGTATTCTAAGACTCTATCTAGTCTTCGGGAATCATCTTGGGCTTGCTTGAATCATCATCTTTATCAAAACATATCTTGGGCATCAGTCATAAATTCAGTTTGTCCTTAAATTCATCTTGAATGGTGTTGACTTGAATGTAGTTGACTTGAATCATCATCAAAATCATCTCTTGGGAATGTAGGAACATTTCCATCAATCTTCCCCTCATTGCTTTCAATCTCCCCCTTTTTGATGATGATCAAGGAAACACCTGAAATGAATTAAAATGCTTGACTCTATATAGCCAGCTCAAGATTAGCACAGATTTGTATCAAGTGTCAGAGTCTCTTAATCTCCACCTGGATATATTAATAACAAGACTCCCTCTAACTCATATGAGCAAATACTTCTCTTAACTCCCCTTGTTTAATTTAGATAGGAAAGAATTTCACACAGATTTTAATTCATCAAAAAAATCTCCCCCTGTTTCATTGATAATCATAAAAAAATATTATAAGAAAAAATCTTCTCTTGTTTCACACAGATTAATATCATCAAAATATCTCCCTATTTTATTGATAATTATGAAAAATATTATAAGAGAAAAAAATCTCCCCCTGTTTCACACAAATTAATATCATCAAAATATCTTCCTGTTTCATTGATAATTATGAAAAATATTGCAATAGAAACTGAGAACAAATTTGTACCTATTAGTAT